AGAAAGAAAAAAATGACCAGTTGACGTTCGTAGCCTTTCCAACTCGAGCTATTAAGCCCTAGGAGTGTCTCTACACTTAGCACCCTAAAGCCATCTGGTTTGGGAGTTGTTGGCCTAACGCTTGCTACAAGGGTTGGTTAGAAAGCTTAAGGGACTTAAACATTACACGGTCATTCAAAAAAAAATAAACTAGTAATAAACATGGTTCGTTGGAGTTCGTAGCCTTTCCAACTTGAGCTATTAAGCCCTATGGAGTGTCTCTACACTTAGCACTCTAAAGCCATCTGGTTTGGGAGTTGTTGGCCTAACGCTTGCTACATAAGTTGGTTAGAAAGCTTAATGGACTTCAGCATTGCACAACCATTCTATGTTTCGCTTATGTGTTGAAATAAATTGTTAACAAGCAACAAAAGTTGTCTTGAAAATAAAATCATGCCTTAGGGACTTCATGTAAAAGGGAATTCATTGATTTGAAAACTTGTGCCTTGGAATTGGACAAGAAAGTAAAAGCCGCATGTGAGAATCCAATTCACTTTCACTGGAGTTTGAGTTATTTCCATTTAAGAGATGACAATTGAATTATTTATATGGACTATGATGTTGATGCATGCATGTTGAAATGGTTTTTCCCATTTTTTGTATCAATGCTTCATATATGCAAGGTAGTTTTCCCAATGACCCCATCTCCAGTTTTTGTCTGTTTCAAGTTGTATTTGAGCTATGTTTCTATCTCATTTTACCATGGATGATATTTTTGTAGTAGCATGCCCATGGTTGTCTTTTCTTTATGTTTTTCATTGTAGTTTTAAGGGACTAGCAAAATGTAAGTTTGGGGTTGTGATAAGCGCCGAATATTGTATATTCAAGCGCCCTAAATTACATTAACAAAGTCCAGTTATTAATTATTTTATGTAGATTAACTCCATTTGCATGTTTTTATGCATTTTCAGGTTGAAGTGCAAAAAGGAAGCAAAAAATGAGGCCTTGTGGAATTTTGAACAAAAAGGATGCCATTTCTGATTTTCTGGCAGCGGTGATCCTGACTTTTGTCACCATTTTTCGACCTAGCAAACTCAAGAACTAGACTTCCATCATAACATGAAAGATTTAGATCTCTGAATCAGCTTTCCAAATCTTCAATTGGTTCATCATTCGGAGTTCGGAGCAGAGAGTTATGATCTTCACAACAGAGGTGCGCAGAACTGCCTAGCAGCACTGATATACTGCCTTTCTCCCCATTTTCGACCAACCAGACTTGAGAATTGGGTCTTCATCAAAACATGAAGTTTTTAAAGTACTGAATCAGCTCTCCAAATCTTCAAACAGATCGTCATTCGGAGTTCGGGGCACAAAGTTATAGCAGTTTTCCCAAAATAGGTCAGCGCTGAGCAAGAGGAGCATGTTGCACATTGCACTAAGTTAGAGTGCTCGAGATCACCAAGCGTGTGCTCGAAAATCAGGCAGAATGCCCTTCGGAAATGGCTCATTTCAGCCCACTTGCACATTGGTTTCCTCAATGCCATCTTCCTTCTTTATGAAGTGGTTGGAGGTGTTCCTTGGAGGAGAGAGGGTATTGTTGGAGTATAAAAGGCTACCCAAAGGCCACATATATCATTAAGCTTCATCTTTAGCAAGATAGAGGAGAGAGAAGAGAGCAAGGAGAAGGGTGTTCTTGAGTGCTACAGTAGGAGCTCGAAAATGGAGATGAGGATGATGCTTCTTCCTTCTTCTAGCTCACCAATGGGCAACTAAACCTCATCTAGGGAGGTGATGAAACCCCTCCCTTGTAAGCATGTGTTAGTATAGTTTATTTTTGGGGATTACAATGTATTTTTGATAGTCTTTCCATGGTCAAGAGCCTCATTTTTGTTGTAATGAATGTTGAATGTTTTAAATGATTATTGTGAGTTATTCATCTTGTCTTAGATGGTTGCTTTTCTTAATCATATTGCTTGCACTTCCATGGTGACAATGGAAGTTAGATCATGGAATGGTTTTAATGGCATGGAGTTGGAGAACCTAGATAGTTCATGGCTTAGGGTTTCCTTTTGATGGGCTATACTTGATTCTTAGCTTTATGTGCATTCACCATTTAAATTAGGGCTTGATAATCCTTGGCTTAGTAAGCATGTTCTAAGCTACATTTTAGTTTAGGTAGTTGATCATGTGAACCTTTGATGGTTTATTCTTGCCTTTCTATTTAAATGAACTTCTTAAGGATATTATAGCAACCTAGTATTGTTATGTATCATGACTATCATATATGTTGTTTTCCCCTTAAATTAATCTTAACCTAGCATGTGTATAGGGATGGAGGTGGATTCATTTCCCTAGCCTTCTTTACTTGTACTTCACTCCCTTGAATTCTTGCAATTTATTGTTTTATGCACTTTTAATTTCCTAGCTTAAGTGACATCCAACAAAACCTCTATACACCCTTCATCATTCTAAGAATGATTCTAGACATTTAGGTTGTATTAGACTAGCGCAGTCCCTGTGGTTCGACTTACCCGACCAATAGCCCTATTTTACAATGATTCGTGCTATTGCGAAGGTTGATGTTAATTGACCAACCGATCACAAATCGTTTGCCCGGACCTCCTCGCGGTAAAGATCTGTCTGATTGTTCCCTACCTCCTCGCCGTGATGTGCCGCATCGGTACGTGCAACTTCTTCTCCTACCGGGAGCGGTCGCGGAATCACCGGAGCTTCTTGACGCTGCATTTCAGTCCTTAGATCCGCATTCTCTCTCCGGAGAGCTTCGATCATGCTCATCAACTCATTAAGTTTCATCTGCTGGACGTTCTCTACCGTATTGGAGTTCTTATCCCCTATCATGATTTCGGAGCGAAGCAAAGGCATGAATTACGAATTCCTAACCAGATCTGAGTGTCACCGATGCGAATTCCGTTAGATCTGGACTCAACTTCACCGAATCGTGGTCACCGTTTGCTAGATCTGAGCTTTTCTAGCTTTGAACTCACCGGATCCAACTGCAATTGAACAAATCACAATTGCGTAATTCCGAAGCAAATGCCTCAGAATCAACAGTAAGCAAGAATCTTCTCTGAACAAACTACAATCTCACTGATCTGGATTCAACTTCCAGAAATCAAACTTTGTTTTCACGAACTTGATTGAACTAACATGATACTGATCAAGCTCGAATCGATCTTCTTCGTCGTTCCCACAGACAGCGCCAATTGAAGATGCAAAGATCCTTCTATCTTTCTTTTTACAGAATCTTATTACATTTCCAATAATGAAAAATTCATCCCCTGTTTCATTCTCTTCACTGCCCTTTTATAGGCAACTATCAATGCTGCTGGTCTATCTCTTTTGGGCCTTCTTTCCGATGGGCTTGGTCCTTTTCCATGGATCCTCCAAGCTTGGCCCATTTCGTGGTGCTTTTGTATGGGCCATACTTCAATTGTTCACCCCAATCCCATGCCAGCGAGCCATAACCGGCCCATACCACTTATTGCATCCTCAATATGAAAATAATGTTTTTATTTAGTCGGGATAATCATAAAGAGAAGGTAGTTACTCGCATTCCAAAATAGAAAGTGGATGCTATAAGTGTTAGAAAATACAACTTGCTTGGGAAAAATGCGTTTAAGAAGCTGAGAAGAACAAAGAATACATTGTTGAGAAGTGTTTTGAGGCGGCTGCATCAACAGTCGTTGTCAGTTCAATTCGAGCATAATTCAACCGAGAAGGGTTTGGAATAGCAAATTTCTGAAGGTCTTAATTAATTTTGTAGTTTTGCTTTTGATGATGATTTGGGGGGGGAGGAGGAATTTATTGAGCTTTTATTAGGAAGATATAGACTAACAAAATGAATGGGGTTTCAAAGATAAATTAGAAGTGAATACGAAATCCTTGAAAGTCTATACCCGACATTGATTTTTTTTTTTTTGGCTGAATGAATGATTGAAGTTTGAGGGTGTGTGTGATTTTTTTTTCTTTTCAAAATCCTCTATTGATAGTGTAAAAAGAAGCAATAGTCCTATACTTTGTTACTTATGCAGATGAATAGATGAATGAGATAATGAATATGAAACATTTTTTGGGGGTATAGAATTGATTATTGCTCTTACATGAATATGCATAATATATTGTTGGAAAGGGAATTCTTAATCTTGCTTGGTGAAAGATATTTATCATAAAGGTTCATAATTTCCTTGACGAGGTCCTGCAATTGGAAACATTTTTTTTCTTTGAATTTAAATGTTTAAAGTTATTAGTAATATTAGTGAGCAGTGCTAATAACACGTGTCTACATCTAAATCTACCTTGATGGGCTCGGTTTATGTTTGACCAACTAAAAAACAAAAAATTCTATTTTCAAAAAGTCTATGGCTCACACTCAAAATTAGAGAAATATTTCAAATTTCTAATTATAACTACTTGGCCTAATGGTACTGATGAGTGATGAGTGATGAGTGATGAGAGTGACATCTTTTCTTGGTTGTTCATTTTCTTTCTTCATGATTTTGTAATTACTTTTGTGTAAAATAAATATGTTGATTAATTCAGAAAATAATTTTCAAATACAATCAAGCAAATTTATGAATTTTTGTTTTGATAAAATTCAGATTTTCAACATGAAAATATTGAAAACTGTTTTCTATTTTGATTCTCTGATTCTATTTTAATTTTCTAAAACCTGCTTTCACAGCTGCAATCCAAACAACACCCAAGTTCCAAAGGAAAAAAAAAAAAAATTCTTACTTGGACTAAATGAAAGATATTATCAATAAATAAAAATTAAAATCACCTCGAATAATTTTGATGAAAAAAGAGGAGTTGATCCAAATAATCTTGGTTCAAATTTCTGTAAAAAGTTTTAAAAATTATCGGGTCGGGTCCTACTCGTATTTATCAGAACATGCCGATTGGCCCTCGAACTCTCCGGAGAAGTTCCAATTTATCCTTAAACCCCTTCTCTTTCATAAAACCCTCAAACCTCCCCAATGTAGCATATACTATATAAAACAGCTCAAATCATCAACCAAACAGAAAAATCGAAAGAAACAGCGAGAAAAGAAAAGAAAAGAAAAAACAGAGGGAGAGAGAAAGAGGAAAGGAAAGGAAAATGTTCTTCTTCTTCGTGGGAGGGGTAGAGCAACAGGTGCGACAGGTGCTGAAGAGTGGAGCAGGAAGGTGCATACGCTGCGGGTCACGTGCCGATCTCGTGGAATACGAGAAGGTCCTCAAGCTCTTCTTCGTCCCCGCATGGAAGTGGCGAGGCAAAGAGCCTCTCATGCGCTGCAACAACTGCAATCTCTTCTTCCCACCCTCCTTCTCTCTGCCGCCTCCCACCGACTCATCTCCGCCGCGTACGGCGGTCCCCGATGTTCTCCGGTGCCAATTCTGTTCTCGGGAGGTTGATCCCGAGTTCAGGTTCTGCCCCTTTTGCGGTTCTGCTCTGTAACTCTCTCTCTCTCTGTCTGAAATTATGGATATGTTGGAGATCAGGGTTTATGTTTGTAAAGGGTTGGTTTTGCAATGAATATGTTTGTGATGGAGTTTAATTTTAATGAGATTGTTACTTTTTTATATGGGTTTTGATTTTTTTTTTGAGGTTTTGTAGTGATTGGTTTTGTAAAGTTGCATTTTTTTTGTTATGGGTTTGTTAAGGCCTCTGTTGAAATCATTTACATTGCGTTGGTATCAAAACTTGGCAGCTATCTCAGCGATAAATTGTATCAATAAGGAGTGAATTGGTATTTTTAATACGGTGCAAATATAGAACAATATATTTCACACACCTAATGGATATGATAGGTGCTGAAATATAGCAATTGACATTTGGCTTTTTTAAAAAATGAACTTTTAACAGAAAGGAAGAGGTTAGAGTTTGGATGAAACTCAATAACTAAATTTCTATAAAATAGGAAGTTTAGTTAGATGAAAGAAGGAAAGCTATGAAGACATGTTGTGGATAAATCTAATTGTGAGAAGTGGCCTTGACATGTCGCTAAATGATGGGCCACTTGGGATAAAACATGGCTACCAAGTTTATAAAAGGAAGTTGTTGAAATATAGCAATTGAAGTTGAATAAAAGCAAGGAAGTTTTTCACATGATGAAAGATCAGAAGAAGGTTTTAATTAGAAACTAAAATAAAGCGTACAAGGAAGTAGAGTATTCATGGTTTTTAACTCTTTGATTTTGAAGAGAGAGAAAATCAAGGGAGGAGAAATTTTCTAACAAAAAGTTAGGAAAATAAGTTGATTAAAACTTCTATAAATAGAAGTATTGTAATTCATTCCAAATTGTCCAACACCAACCACAAAACATGAATAAAAATTTATTCAATTGACTCTAAGTCATTTATCTTTATTTATTTTGTCTAAATGACAAATTTCATTCAAAGAATTTAAGTTCCAGTAACTTACTCTTCTTTTGCAATGATTTAATTATGTAATTTGCATTATTAGTCATTTGTTTCATTCAAATAGATTCAACCATTTACTTCATTATTATGCTTATTTCACTTCATTATTTTTCATGTAATTTCCATTCAGTCATTTCCTTTATTGTCATTTCAATTCAACCATTACTTTTAATACTATTTCAATTCAGCCTTCTTTCTTTACCGTCAATTTAAATTCAGCCATTTCATTCAAATTTCTTTAGTCATTGCATTTTTATTTTTTTTAAACACCTTAGATAAAAAGTCCTTGCACCAAGGCATAAAAGAACTTTACTGGGAGTTTGTACTAGTCTCTCTCCCACACATTTGCCTGAAAGTCAGCCATCAGAAAAAGGGATAGACTAGTGTTCGTTTCATAATTTTAACTGTTTTATACAAATACTCTGGCACGCCCGCAAGAGTCCATTGACCGACATAAGACCAAAAAACCGCGCGAACATGTTTTAGCACGCCTGGTGGGACCACTAATGGGTGTTAGAAGAAGCAAAAATGCCATAGTGTACGAAAAATTCAAAGGCCATAGCTACTGAAGAAGATCTGAAAGAAGAACATCAGTCAGCTCAGGTTGGTAGCTCTACCTTGGGCCCTGTGGATGAACTAGCTATACCATCAAAAGTATCAATGGTTCAAACATAGTTGTGCTTTTTGTTAGAGGCGACGGGAAGAATGAGTGCAAATCAAAATGACCTGCACGAAACAATATCTCAACTTTCAGCCGCCATTATGAATAGGCCTGCTCAGGCTGGGAGCTCCAGCAATAAAAAATCAGCCACTCAGTCGATTTCGTCACAGGTCGTTCAACCGGTTGTGAATACTCAGCCATCACAGCCGTGGCCGTTGCTGGTTTTGCTTTAACCAATTATGATGGCTAATCAGCCACAAGGCTAGCCGAATTATTATCAGCAGCTAATGGTATATTAACCAGGACTAGGGGGGCAGCTGATGGCTAACCAGCCAGAAGATTGGCTGAATTATTAACCACCAGCGGAAATCAGCCGCAAGTGATAAATCAATTACAGCAAGGTTGGCTGATTTATAATCAGCTACCAGCAGAAAATCAGCCGCCAGTGGTATATCAGCCAAAACCTTTTGGACTTAGGGGACATCTGATGGTTAACAAGTCAGAAGATTGGCCGATTTATAATCAGCCACCAGCGGAAAATCAACTGCCAATGGTAAATCAATCACAGCAAGAATGGCCAGAATATTAGCCTGTTACTTCCATATCAGCCAGAAGTGGTACATCAGCCAAAACCTTTCAACTTGGAAGGCAACTAGGTAAGGTGGAGAGTTTCAAGTCCACTTTATGCTCATGAACCACTATAGCAAGGACTTGGGGGGCAGCCGATAGCTAATCAGCCAGAAGGCTGGCCAAATTATTTTCAGCTACTAGCGGAAAATCAGCCGCCAGTGGTAAATCAATCGCAATAAGAATGGTCAGAATATCAGCTTGTTGCTTCCATATCACAACCTTCGATGTTTGAGGGGCAGTCGATGGCTAATCAGCCACAAGGCTGGCCGAATTATAATCAGCCACTAGCGGAAAATCAGCCGCCAGTGGTATATCAGCCAAAACCTTTGGTACTCGGGGGCAGTCGATGGCCAATCAGCCATAAATGGTAAATAAGCCGCTAGTGATAAATCAAGATCGACCAGCCGTTGATCGACCGGTCATTGATCATTCTAATCAGCCAACGACGGTCGATAATGTTCAGGTGGCTGATATTATTAAGCAAGAATATGGTAATGGCCTTAGGAGAATAGGCCGACCAATGTACAAAAAGCCAAAATTAGCCATATCCAGCACTCGAACATCTACCGTATCGACCAAAAAGGGAGCGGATGATGAAGTCATGGGGGTCGATAATGATCTTTTCATAGCAAATAGTAATGTGATCGGCCAGGCTCCCAAAGGGAAAGTTGATGAAGGGAATCAGCCAAAGGTTGCCGAGATTACACCATCAACCATTCCAAATGTTAAGGCTCTTATACAACACTGTTGCTGCCCTGAATGGAAAGTTATTAACTGAGGTAAAAGAATTTCAGGATCAAATCGGTTAGATTACCAGAATGCTTGGCCGAGAGTGGTATCTAATCCTCAGCTAGAACCATTATTGGCTGAGAGAATTCTTTTAGCTCTTCGACCTCAACCGAATTTTAAGAAAAGAAAGCGGGGATGAAAATTAAAAAAGGTTAAGTTGAAGAGAAATCTTTGGAAGAAAATAAATCGGCCATTTAATGAAAAATTTTATGTGGCCGATGCAGTGCTACATGAAGAGAATCATATTTTGTTTAAAAGAACAAATAAAATGGGGCGACTAGTATCGGCCACAATGAAAGAAGTCTGGCTGATGGGTTAATCAGAAAGGTATTTTGACTGAGGATAATGCTTAATCGGCCAGCTATTGAAGTGCCAAATAAAGAATCAAAGAGGAGTTAGGCCATCATGGCCACTAACATTCTGAAAGCTTACGCGGTCGAGAAAAAATCAGCCACAAAAGAAATATTATTCTTGGTATTTCCGGCTGATATAGCTGAAGTCATTAAAGAAGATGACTCTTCAAAAACATGGGATGGCATACTTTTAGAAGCTCCATGGGAATATAAAAATTCAAGAGGATCAGCCATTAGAAAAGCTCCATACTAGCAGAATGTTGTTCTTCCAATAGAGAAGCCAGTTAGATCGGCCCAAATGACATTACATAACAACTTGATCCCGACCGATTACGATCATGCCTTACTAGTAGAGTTGGGAAACTTCAATGGTAGGTCTATCATGGGATTATAAATGGCCAATATTTTGAGGGGTATTAGCCAGCTTTGTGGGAATAATGGAAGAACTAGGATCGACGAGTCCTGACTGACGCAAAACAATGACCAACTTAGAAGTGGTCCGGAAGAAATAAAGTCTGGAAGCTTGCTGGCTGCCAGTTTCTTTCATGTTATAAAAATTCCAAAAATCTTATCGGTCTGAGTGGCCGATAAGACATTTGAAATTTAGGGGGCATTTGTTGGCACCAAAACTTAGCAGCCATCTTAGCGATGACGTGGATTAATAAGGAGCGAACATGTATTTCTAATATAGCATTAAGGGAATCGGCTAATTTAAAAATATCTGGAGCGAATATAGAAAGATATATTTCAGCCACCTAATGGATATGGTAGTTGCTGAAATATAGCAACTGACATTTGACTTTTTTCAAAATGGGCTGTTAACAAAAAGGAAAAGGCTAGAGTTTGGATGAAACTCAATAACTAAATTCCTATAAAATAGGAAGTTTAGTTGGATAAAAGAAGGAAAGCTCTGAAGACATGTATAGAAGGTTGGCAGCATGAAGTGGACAAATCTAATTATGAGAAGTGGCCTTGACAAGGCGCTAAATGATGGGCCACTTGGGATAGAACACGATTGCCAAGTTTATAAAAGGAAGTTGTTGAAATATAGCAATTGAAGTTGAATAAAGCAAGGAAGTTTTTCACATGATGAAAGATCAGAAGAAGGTTTTAATTAGAAACTGAAATAAAGTGTACAAGGAAGCAGAGTACTCATGGGTTTTTGACCCAGTTTGATTTTAAAGAGAGAGAAAATCAAGGAAGGAGAGATTTTCTAGCAAAAAGTTAGGAAAAGAAGTTGATTAAAACTTCTATAAATAGAAGTATTGTAATTCATTCCAATTTGTCGAGCACCAACCACAAAACATGAATCAAAATTCATTCAATTGACTTTACGTCATTTATCTTTATTTCTTTTGTCCAAATGGCAAATTTCATTCAAAGAATTTAAGTTCCAATAACTTACTCTTCTTTTGCAATGCTTTAATTATGCTATTTACATTATCAGTCATTTGTTTCATTTAAATGGATTCAATGGCGATCTTTGATAAGATTTGCGTCATGTTAATTCGGCCAACTTATTTCACTTCATTATTTTTCCATGTAATTTCTATTTAGCCATTTCCTTTATTGTCATTTCAATTCAGCCATTTACTTTTCATGCTATTTCAATTCAACCTTCTTTCTTTACCGTTAATTTAAATTCAGCCCTTTCATTCAAATTTCTTCAATCATTGCATTTTTATTTCTTTTAAACACCTTAGATAAAAAGTCCTTGAACTAAGGCA